CTTGTAACCTTTTGTATATTATATTTTCTCGTGTCGAGTTGCGTGTTCTTATTGAAGAAACGTAACCCGTATCGATTTTAATTGAAAAATACATCAACACTTGTCATCTTCGTTTATCATTATCACTTCCATATCTAGAAAATTCCAAGGATTTTGACTGGAATACGTGATGGAGGGAATCCCGGCTGAAACCTCGGTTGCTATGATATTGTGTCCCTGTCCTATTTTTTCCAAAGGTGCCCCTAGGCACCACCTGTTGAATTAAAAAACACCACCGTAATGGCAAAAAATACATGCAAAACTTGCAATAGCAATATAAATGCAAGAGGAAGAGATAAATGCAATCCAACAAGAAAAGATAAAGTCATTTCTAGCAAAACCAAACCCAGTAAAGTAGAAGAAACTTTAAAAAATGGAAAATGAGATGAAAGAACTTAAGAAGACAGACTCGGAAAATAAAAACATACTATCAAAACCAGCAAAACAACCAGAAATATTACCAAATCAAAAGGAATCAAACTTAACCACATCGGAAAAAAACAATAACAAAAACCAGACATTAGGAATAAGGATGAGAGGAGTAAAAGAGAGCGATGACAAGGATCCTAGAAAGCGCCAAGAACACGACTTCTGCGAAATACAAAAAATCCTGAATCATATGGAGTTTGAATGTGACTTCAACGACTTGATTAAGTTAGGCCAAAGAGGTAATGATCGTGACAGAACGATACTTCTTAAATTGTCAAATGAAAGGCTGAAACGGTTGATCTTATCATCAGCACCAAAACTGAAAAACTGTGGAGCTCCAGTATTCATAAGCAAGCAACTAACAAACGAAGAAGCCGCGATAGAAACGAATCTTTGAAGAAAAGAAGAGAACTTATAGATCAGGGGCAAAGTAAGAAAAATATTAGTGTAATGGATGGCAAGCTATACAAAAGAGATGGAAGCCAATGGATAGTGATATCGCCTAAATCTGAAACAACAGACAACAGTTGAATAAGACAAAAAGCTAATCTACTACTCTCTAATTTATAATATTTTAATCTATAATGTCAGAAGCATCTTAGAACATTCTAGAAGACCTCTTTTCTCGAATGCCATCCAATCTATAAACATCTACAATATCATTTGTCTAACAGAGACATGGTTAACTGAAAATGTGACGACAGGAGCAATGTTTTTTTTGACAAATTAACATCCATAGGAATGACATGCAAAGCGTTAACGGCAAATCAAAAGACGGAGGTGTTATGATTGGGATAAACCACGAAAAACCTCACTATTGCACAAACTCAACTTTCAATGACTGCCTAATAGTCAAGCTCTTGATCAAAAACCCACCATTATAGCTTGCATATAATGTGACCCCAAAGGAAGCGAATTTCGCCGGTCGTCAAAAGCACTATTGAGTTATCTGTGTTTTATTAAGCAAAAACAAATAGAATTAAATGTATAAAAAACGTGATGATTACTGGACACATCAACTTGCTCAAACGGACTGGTCGACCCTAATCTCCTCTGATGAAGACGAACAGGCCTTCCTGGACGCTCTTGCAGAACTTAACTTCGAACAAATGATAAGGGGTAAAGAAAAGTACATCTAGACGTAATACTCTGCAACCACCCAGATTTGTTAACTCTCGTGAAAAAAGACAATAGACTCAAATCCTTGTATAAAACGGATCATCCTCCTTACCAGGAAAAACTCAACCTAATTTTAAAAAACGATTACATCAGAGAAAAGAAGTAAATGACCGCAATGCCTTCCAGAGACTCTCATTCTCGAAAGCAAACACTGGGATGAAATAAATCAATACATCAAGGAAAACCCATTTAACCCATACTGCTACAACAATGTTGATCTAATGACTGAACTGTGGTACACTTGGCTACTTGTCATAATCGAAAAGCACATTCCCAGGAAAACAAAACACAGAAGTTCTCTGGCACCTTGGGTAACATCTGAAATATCAAATCTCATCAAAATTATGGATACAATGAGCAAAAAATGTGAAAAGAAAACGTGACTGAATGTCAGTTAGACTAACTGAAAACATTTGAAAATACCTCCAGTTAAACTTGAGCGAAGACCAAAGAGCATACGAAGAAAACTTATTTGTTGATGGTAATTTCTGAAAGTTGCGAAAATACTTTAAAAAGTATTCAAAAAACAAATACAATCACAGGTGAAGTCTAACTGCATGATCGAAGAGCTACATCAAAAATCAATAAAGCCAATTTGTTTTTTAAATTGTTTTCGGTCAGTTTTTAGCCACTCCCTCTATGTAGGCGAGAACAACCCATGTCATGAATGTAAAATAGCAAATCTCCATTTTACCACAACGGAAATCGAAAAAATCCTTGAAAACTTGGATATTAACAAAATCAAAGAACCTGATATTCTAGGAATTTTTTTTTGAAAAAACTAAGCTGTTCTATCTCTGATTTTTGTATCTACTTTTAACACAATTGCTAATAATTGTGTTTTTCCGTCAACATAGAAAATACGCGTAATTCTTCCTATCTTCAAAGAGGGAGACAAACACTTTGTCTCGAACTACCGACCAATAAGTTTGCTAACGGTTATCTCAAAGGTGTTAGAAAAATTAATTTTTGATAAAATGACTTCATCAGTAAAATTTAGCATCTCAAACTCACAACACGGCTTCCGACAAAAACGATCTACTGTTACAAACCTCATTGAGTATCTCCATGAGGTAAATATTTACTATGATAATACCGAAACAAATTACCTGGCTTGCCTCTTTCTAGACTTCCAAAAAGCATTCGTCAAGCTGAACCACGCAAAGACAATTAAGAAAGTTAGGAGCTTTGTTTTCACAGGACAATGTTCAAAGCTACTAAAAAATTATCTAACAGATAGAAAACAAACCGTTCGCATTGGACAAGCAGGGAGTTCAATTCCGGTTCCCATTCCGGGGGGTCAATTCCAATTCCTTGTAATTCAATTCCAATTCCAATTCCTGGAGAGACTAATTTTCAATTCCAATTCCAGTTCCTGGCTATTTTCCGTTGCCACATTATTTATCCTAAATAAGAATTTCTAATATTTATTTCTAATATAGTTTTATTATCTCTATTAAGCATAAATGATGAATTGTTTAATGTTTCCAGTTGAGGAAATGAGCGTGGTAATGAGCGTGGTGATACTGTAATAGTACGATTGATCATGTAAGTTAAGTTTGTATTCAAGCACTTTTACGTTTATTAAGATTTAGACCGAGTCATTTTTCAAGATATCAGTTTTATTTGCCAATTTTTGATGTCAACTCCATGTCAATTCCAGCCAAAAATTCAATTCCAATTCCCATTCTCGAAACTGGATTTGACCCCAATTCCAATTCCCAATTCCTTGGGAAGTGGTGTGCCTCAGGGTCCAATTCTCGGACCTTTGATGTTTAGTTTCTATATAAATGGCCTACCAGATTGTGCAATGTCAGCAAGTTTTGGCTACGCAGAAGATTTCAAAATTGTTTGCAATGACCCATTAATTTCAAATATCGATGCGAAGAGAATTTGGAATAGGTGTGTAACGAATTCTATGGCAGTAAATGTGTCAAAAATCAAAATTCTCAGTGTTAAAGGAAATGCAAAAAATGAAGTAATTGTAACTGTTCTTGAAAAAACAGCAGAAATGAAAGATTTGGGTCTTTTAATCATAGCACATTAAGTTAGACTGAATATGCTACAAATAGATCTGCCAAAGCTCTAAATGCATTATGCTCTATGAAAAGAAACATCTCCAAAATGACAACAAAGGCCATAAAATTAAAATCATACAAATCATTTGTTGCACCTATTGTAAGTTATGGCTCATCATTATGGAAGCCTCAAGAAAAGAAGAAGAAGAAGAAAGAACACTTGAATTACTATACAATAAAAAGCCGAGGCATCAGTGTAGCAAAGTGTAAATAATAAAATTGGTTATAAATTCATTGGTTACATCAAACAAAAACAAAACATCAGAAAACAAGCAATAAACAAAACGAAAAAAAACAAAATCGGTTACAGTTCGGAAATTGGTTGATTAAAGTATATGAAGTTTCGGATACTATAGAAAATTAAAGATTTAAGAATTAGGAACAAGCTGGTAATAAAACTTTACAAACAATTTTACAGATAGTCCAATTATACAACGTATATACAGAGTATATACAGTTTCTCTTTCAAGCAATGTGTGAAAAATTAAACTGAATTAAAAAATATAGAACTAGCAAAAACGGTAATCACGCCACGTATTTGTATTAGTACATATAGGATTGTTTCTCAATTCACTCACGTAAAATTCTTTCAATTTTTTCTTGAATTGAAAGAAATTGAAAGAAATTGAAAGAAATTCAAAGAAATTGAAAGTGTACATAAGAAAGCAACAGCATGGATATTGAGTCCAACTCAAGAATACAAAGTCGATTGATTTCCCTACATATCCTTCCTCTGTCACTTTATCATGAACTACACATTCCACTGCTACTGCACAAAATCCTACCTGGTAAAACTGACCTACAATGGAAAAAATTCATAAGTGTTAAGGAAAAAGGACAAACAAGATATGCGAGTATGAAAAAATACGAAAGCAAACAATTTCGACTGCAAAAATTAGAATCTGCCTTTTTCCTGAGAGCCTGCAATATCACGAACGACTTGAATGAACACCTCAAATTCGATATCATAGAGCACGAAAACATGAAAGAACTTAAAACGTATGTTTTCTGGAGATATTTGAAAGAGAAGTTCAACGAAAACGATCCATGCTCGTGGAGAATTGGCTGCCGATGCACGAATTGTAAAAACATTAAAACTTTCGATTTGACAAAAACTAAAAGGGAGCTAACTCCCTTGGATCTATTTTTCCTAAATTCTTGTTTATGATTATTATTATTATTATTATTGTACTTTTGACCTTCTGATTACTTGTTAAAAATCATAGTTCTACACTGTTAGTGTGCTAATGCAAGATTTAATTAAAATTCAGAGTGTTAATGCCGTTGTATACTTTCGGAGATGCGGCAGGATCCTCGTCCGACGAAAGAGGAAACTCGCGTGAAGCGAGTAATGAAGATGAGGATGATGGGTATGATTATGATGAGAATGGTGCTCTAGACGAAGAAGACGACTACGAGGATGGCGAAGATGGATTGCCAAATTCCTTTGATCCGCAAAAGGGAGTCAGACTTAGCCCGATGATGGTGTACGTGGAGACTTTAACTGGCACGGCATTTGAAGTTCGAGTCTCATCTTTTGAAGCTGTTATTTCGATTAAAGACAAAATTCAACGGCTGGAAGGTGGGTTCTCAGAAAAAATATAAGTGCATTAACCTGGTGTTGTTATTAATTTGCTTTCAGGAATTCCCATCAGTCAGCAGCATCTTTTGTACGACAATTGCGAGATGAGAGATAACTATACCCTTCGCGAGTATAATATCAGAAATGGTGCTACTCTGAAATTAGTACTCGGTATGCGCGGAGGACCCATTAACACACGCAGAGGTAATGCGAAGCTATTATGTATTTAGGCGATAAAATTGTATTATTAAGACGTATTACATTCGAAAAACATTAGTTGGCCCACCATATTGACCAATAAACACTCATGCTGTATCATCTCAGGACTCAAATAGTGGTTCACAAATTTTGGGCATCTCGACTTATTTTGACGAAGTTTTTGACATATTGCTGTGTTTCTAGTTCCCGTTGAAGAACCAGTTCTGAGAGACATTGATTTGATGGAAGCGAAGTAAGTCTTAGATGTGTCTTGTTCGGGTTATGAAAATTGCTAGACGACGCATTTGTTAATGCATGACTTTGAGTGCTAATTAAGTGAATGAGCGGCTCCTGGAAAGCTAGTTGTGCAAGAGGCAGAAATCGTCACAACTTTAGTCCGATGGAATTTTTGAGTCAATTGAAGTTTGATTTACTGACCATCAATTAATTTCTCCTAGTCACTAACAATATGGAAGGGCCCCTTTTTAAAAATAACAATATGCAAATTTCGGAAAAGTTTTTGCTCATACAAATGTATCTTTTAGAGAACAATTGTCTCGCAAGCTCAATTCGTCATCAAACAATCACTTTACAATATTGGTTTTGAGAAACGGTCAGCAGGTCAATTTATACAGAGTTGTGGACAGAAACGATGGCTCAGCGCCTTCTTCGGCTTCCAGGTAAGTTTTACTTTTCATAAGATTTTCTTTTCTAATGACATATGTGAAGAAAAATAACAAGTGTCCTTAAACAGCTCCGGGTCACGATGTGAGAAAGTGAGAGCTTCTGTTGGAACAACAAGGGCTCAGAAGGACACAGAAAGCGATGATGAGGACGATGAAGACGATACTCATGAAGACCAATCAAACAACGAAGATGAAGATGAATCGGATCACGACGAACCGACACGAATGGCTGTGAAATTAGCAAATCTGAGAATGAAAATGCACCAAAGGAAGACGAGGAAGGAGAAGAATTTATCCTTAAAAGCGACAAAAACCACACAATTGAAAGCATCAACTTCTACAGCTTTACCGCCAATTAAAGTAAGTATCTTCAAAGTTAAATTTTTTTGTTAAATAATAAGTACTTCTGGAAGTTGGCGTCTCGTCGGTTTCTTCAATTTCAAATTGGAATGTTTGCTTGAAAGTGAATCTGCCTGAACGTAAAAATTTCAACGCGATATTTTGTTTAAAGTCAGGACAGTCTTCAAAACGCCAGAACACAGCGTTCGAGCCCTCAAGTGGGAAAACATCGAGCTCCTTGACGCGGTATCTTCTCAGTGACCAGACTCCGATGCCTCGTTATCTGCAAATGAAATCTCTGCATGGAAATTTTCCTGATGAAAACTCAGAAATCTCAATTGGAAAAGGAGACATGAAAAATCTTCTGACAGATTCAAGAACGGATAGTGATGCTCTCTGTGGAACGTCTAAAAGTGATGCCGAAAAGGCGAATGAAAGGATCCATCAGTCGGCTGTGAATCATGAATCATCAATGGGAATCATGCCTAGAACTTCGTATGCAGTCTCTCAGATTATAGACCCAAGTGCAGAGCTGTCGAACTACAATTTGGTCAGAGATAAACAAGCTGCTACGTCTTCCAATTCTTCTGGTCAAATCATTGGAGGACCTAGTCACAGTTTAGCAAAGTCGCTTTATAACAGAGATCCAGTTTCACATCTGACGGCAACAGAGGAAGAGTTCTCAAAGATGCGAATGAAAAACTACGACGATTGCGCATCTGGCGATTCTAAAGCAGAGAACTACGCCTTGAAATCCATGCCCGTGGCTGGTGCTGGGGAAAGTACTCATGAAGATAAAAGGAAAGGTCAGATTTCTGAGAATCAGCAAGAAATGAATAGTGATGCGGCGTGGTTGCAGCCTCCGGACAAAAACTTCGACGCCTTCAAAATAGCACAGGACATACTACAATCCCAAGGCGGTACTAAAACGAAAACAATTGACGCTCTCAATCATCAGAAAGACTTGCAGCAAAGAATAAACCGGTCGAGGGCGAAACATTACGAAGAAGACTTTGTGAGTATTGATGCAAAAATGCGCACCGAAGGAGTCAGACACGAGCATGTGCCAATTCTCACCAAGAGGAAAAAAAATTTGAAAAATTTGTTTGTGGAAACTGATTTGAATGAACGAGGTGAAAGTTCACAAGGGTTCAATAAGCTGGAAGAGTTGAAGAATTTTCCGCCTCAACCAGGAAAGATATCTCAGCTGAAGGGAAAGGTAGTGAACAAGCCTACTCCTAGCCCTACAGAGTCAACACTGTCTCAAAAGCATCACCACAAGCTGACATCTATGAACAATCCAGGTAGGATCACCAAAAACGCTAGCTAGAAGTGAAAATCATAGATTTCACGAGGAATGTGAAACGAGGCCTGCAAGAAAGCGATATTTGTCAGTTGTAATTTTTACAGAAAATTTTTTTGAGCTGGCCTATTTTTGTTGTTCTTAGTACTCTCCAAAGATTGGGGCCCAAAAACGGCTTTTTTGACTGTTTTTTCAAAATTTAAATTTAGGGCGAAAAACAGTGCTTTGGGAGAGCTCGAAAAATCAATTTGGTCGACCTAAAAAAGGGTCGTCTAAATTTTCAAAAACTTTTTGAAAATCCGCCCCCCCCCTCAAGAAAATCCTAGATCCGCCCCTGATTCCGACCACGATATTTCAGAAAAAATGAAAATTAAGGACAAGGATAGCCAGTTCTGTGCGCCGAGTACCCCAAGTTTGTTTTGCAAATTAGTTTTTTTTGCCTGGTTTGATTAAAGTATCAAGCGGAAAAGTAGAACTTGAGCATGTTCGACATTCAAGTAAAATAAACAAACTTGACAATCATTTTTTGTAGCTAAAAAACTAAATTTACTTGAGTAAAACTAAGTTTAACGGCTCAATCTAAGCATAAGTAAGCTATTGTAAGCCTGCTCGCTTGCTTTATTTTTCGAATTCTGACTAAAAATCAAATTTTTAAATCTGTTTTTCTCGATACTGTGACGACCTTTAAATGTCTTTTGAATTACGACTGAAAGGGCTTTAATATGATGTATCAAACAACCCACTCCGATGATTATTTGTGATACCTGGTTTTGCGTGGAAAGCTAGAAAAAAAAATAAAACACACGAATTCAAAGTTCCTACCGGTTTCAATGGTCGGAACAAAACGAACAAACGAGTTTTTTTGCAATAATTTTTCATTTTCTCTGCCATTTTTTTTGAGGCAAAGGGTTACTGAATGAAAAGAAAAATAATAAACTAAAAAATAAACTGTAAGAAGTATTTATACAAGCTCTACGTAGTATGATGCTACAAAGTTAATTTTTTTAAACATAGTCACAAATATTAGTTCTCCTTTCGGTGGCACTTTTAAGGCCGGAGGCTGAATTTGCTCTAGAGTTCAATTTTTTCAAATTCCATAATTTTTTAAACTTCTTTTCTCTTTTTTGGCCCCTTCAAAGATGCCTCTTGGCGTTTTCTTTTTCGCTTGTTTGCGAAGCGCAGCTTCGCCTCTATGTAAAAAACCATTAAAAGTAATAATATTTAGAGAAGAACGTCAACATTGTAGCCGATTTAAGTAAGGTGTCAGCCAGTTTTGTCTAAATTCATCCATTTTTTTTTCAAAATTAGTCTGAAAATAATTAGAACAATTTTTCTCAACACTAACAGAAGGTGTTGAACTTTTCACTATTGGAGTGGTCGGAGCAGAGCAAAAACGTTTAATCTGTGATCTGATCATTTTCGTTTTTCAGACCAAATTTCGGATGGTTTTCAGACAGATTTTCACTCCCTCATTGGCACAATTTATAATTGATTCTAGCTTTTTATTAAGAGTAGTTGGACATAGTTCAGACTCATATAGGTGCTGATGAGGCTCTTTTCCAGTTTCCCTCCTTTCAAAATAACGAGTTTTATGTTAGTTATACGTGTTATTACGGCTAAATGCGTGATATTACGCTGTAAAGTATGAAGAACAAATCTGTTCACAGTTGTCGATTTGTTCACCACGCCAAATTTCATTGCATTATGACAACGGTAAAGAAGCTTTTCAAATTTGAATTTGAAAGGGGGGAGGGAACTGGAAAAGAGCCGCTGATGATTTTTTTATGGAATTTTTTTTGGTCGTAAAGTTTGTTCAGGCTGAAATTTAATTATTCGTGGTTTGACTTTGGCAAGTTCTACTGCCGAACAGCTTAAGTGTAAAGGTTACGAAAAGCGTGATCGAATTCAATTTCGAAAGTGGATTTTTTTTTTCAAATTTTCCAGCGGAGTAAAAATTTTACCTCTTGATACGGTTTTTTTTCGAACTGAGCTAATTTATGGAACCTGATCTAAACTACTTTTTATGATTGGATAAATTGGATATTTTACCACTGTAAAATATTTAATATTAACCAATCATAATCCATCTAACTAACAACCCACCGATACTGTGACGACCTTTAAATGTCTTTTGAATTACGACTGAAAGGGCTTTAATATGATGTATCAAACAACCCACTCCGATGATTATTTGTGATACCTGGTTTTGCGTGGGAAGCTAGAAAAAAAATAAAACACACGAATTCAAAGTTCCTACTGGTTTCAATGGTCGGAACAAAACGAACAAACGAGTTTTTTTGCAATAATTTTTCATTTTCTCTGCCATTTTTTTTGAGGCAAAGGGTTACTGAATGAAAAGAAAAATAATAAACTAAAAAATAAACTGTAAGAAGTATTTATACAAGCTCTACGTAGTATGATGCTACAAAGTGAATTTTTTTAAACATAGTCACAAATATTAGTTCTCCTTTCGGTGGCACTTTTAAGGCCGGAGGCTGAATTTGCTCTAGAGTTCAATTTTTTCAAATTCCATAATTTTTTAAACTTCTTTTCTCTTTTTTGGCCCCTTCAAAGATGCCTCTTGGCGTTTTCTTTTTCGCTTGTTTGCGAAGCGCAGCTTCGCCTCTATGTAAAAAACCATTAAAAGTAATAATATTTAGAGAAGAACGTCAACATTGTAGCCGATTTAAGTAAGGTGTCAGCCAGTTTTGTCTAAATTCATCCATTTTTTTTCAAAATTAGTCTGAAAACTGAAAATAATTAGAACAATTTTTCTCAACACTAACAGAAGGTGTTGAACTTTTCACTATTGGAGTGGTCGGAGCAGAGCAAAAACGTTTAATCTGTGATCTGATTATTTTCGTTTTTCAGACCAAATTTCGGATGGTTTTCAGACAGATTTTCACTCCCTCATTGGCACAATTTATAATTGATTCTAGCTTTTTATTAAGAGTAGTTGGACATAGTTCAGACTCATATAGGTGCTGATGAGGCTCTTTTCCAGTTTCCCTCCTTTCAAAATAACGAGTTTTATGTTAGTTATACGTGTTATTACGGCTAAATGCGTGATATTACGCTGTAAAGTATGAAGAACAAATCTATTCACAGTTGTCGATTTGTTCACCACGCCAAATTTCATTGCATTATGACAACGGTAAAGAAGCTTTTCAAATTTGAATTTGAAAGGGGGGAGGGAACTGGAAAAGAGCCGCTGATGATTTTTTTATGGAATTTTTTTTGGTCGTAAAGTTTGTTCAGGCTGAAATTTAATTATTCGTGGTTTGACTTTGGCAAGTTCTACTGCCGAACAGCTTAAGTGTAAAGGTTACGAAAAGCGTGATCGAATTCAACTTCGAAAGTGGAATTTTTTTTTCAAATTTTCCAGCGGAATAAAAATTTTACCTCTTGATACGGTTTTTTTTCGAACTGAGCTAATTTATGGAACCTGATCTAAACTACTTTTTATGATTGGATAAATTGGATATTTTACCACTGTAAAATATTTAATATTAACCAATCATAATCCATCTAACTAACAACCCACTTATTTGTAAGTGCTGAAATTACTTGTAATTTCAGCACCAAAGAGATTTGAATTTAACTCAGAAATTAGTTGCCTCTCCAAGAGAACCTCAGCTGCCGCAATAAACCAGTATACTCTAGATCTATTGAGCCCAGCATAGACTAGTTTAACACCCTGAGACTAGTAAGTGTAAGAGTAAGATTAGGATCGGTATTAGACTAAGAAGTTGCACGAATCTATCCGGCCGAAAATAAGATAGCGTGACGAGCAGACGGTGTACTATCCGAAATCACTCTATGAGTTAACCACATCGGTCCTAACTCATCTGGTGCGACCATAAGTCTCGAATAAGACCTTAATAGCTTAAAACTAACCAAATATAGATTAGAATTTAGACAAAACTTTTTCAAAATGTTCCACGATAAAAATTTAATTGAAATGTCTCTACGACTCAATAGATCAGAGCCGATATTCCGAACGATACTAGGACAACCCGGAATTGGAAGAAGACCTCGGACAAGAGACGATATACGATTAAGTAGAAACTTACCATTTAGTTTGATGGTTGTACAGCAAAAGCCAACACAAACTTTTGTTTTTAGAATCTTATTAGCAATGAATTTAGATTTTCATTTGCAAACATAAAATTTTGAATTAAATCTTCATGATCATTTCAGGCGCTAAACAAAATTATTAATGTACAATAGCGATTGATAAAAAGATCTCAGATCGTTTTCTTAATTTCTGCAGTATTATATAAAACATATTTGAAAAATATTTATTGAAAATAAAAATAAAAATTAGTAGCATGACAATAAATTGTTAGTAACCATAAATCATCTTGTTGTTCCAGCTTCATCACCTAAACATAACAGCAATCATAAGCTCACTAATATCATTCAAAAACTAAATTTTTTTATTAAATAAATTTAAACCATTTTAAACTTAAATTCACTTAATTTTAAAAATCAGATCATCAAGGCTTATCCTTGGATCTTAATAAATTTTCTATCTCATTAAATTTAAAACCTGATCATCAAGGCCTATCCTTGGATCAAAAAGAACAATTTTGTTCTCCCCCACCCACTTAGCAAGTGTCTAACGACCTCAAACGTCGATTCACTATCCAACCTTTCCAAAAGACCCAGGACTAATAGAAATTTTTTAATAAAACTAACCATTCAAATTAAGATAAACAGTGAAGAACTTCGGTTATTCATCCTTCACTTGAACCCTCCTCTTACCAGACCCAGGATAGATCTTAGACTTAGTGAGTTTAAAATAGTATCTAACGAACTACTTGCGTTCTAATCATACCTGCACCTTGTGGATCGATTTACTATTCTCCAACCCTTGAACACAATCACTACCCCTAATTAAGATTAAGTAAGTTAACACCTTAGCTTAGACTAGCTACGAGAAAGTAAAAACATCATTCTTCGGAATCGATATACTTTTCTCTCCAATCCTGAACAAAA